AAGTTCAAAATGCTTTCACTCAAAACATTGTAGAAACCCTCAGTAGATCTCCAGGACGCATATTTTCACATAGATATCTTTCCTGCGCACAGGAAATATCCGAGATTCGCATATCAAAATACAGCATACGAGTATGCGAAAATTCCCTTTGGCCTCTCCCTAGCTCCGAGAATTTTTACCAAATGTGTAGAGGGGGCTCTGACTCTGTTAAAGAATATGGGAGTCAGAGTCTTGTCTTATCTAGACACCTGCTCGTGTGTGCACCATCTCCGCACCAAGCAGTGGTCGATACAAATACACTGGTGACTCATCTGGAGAGACTAGGTTTCAAGATAAACCAGACAAAGAGTTGTCTGACCCCTTCACGGGAAATAATCTACCTGGGTCTCAGATTGAATTCTGTGGCGTTTCGAGTGTTTCTGTCAGAGGAGCGCATCAAGGCGCTTCGTCGCTGCATCTCCCTTTTTCAACGAGGGAAAACAGTCTCTCTCAGATTATGTCTCCGGTTACTGGGGTTGATGGCCTCAACACTAGCAGTGGTCCCCTTGGGACTACTGCGAATGAGGGAATTTCAAAACTGAGTGGCGTCACAGGGAATCCGCTCCAAGAGCCGTCTCAGCCACAGAGTGCGTGTCTCACCAGAATGCATGAACGCTCTCCGCCACTGGAGAGCTCCATCATTTCTCAGAACAGGATGCCCTCTGGGTCCGGTCGTTTCAAGGAAAGTGGTGACGACAGACGCGTCCCTCACGGGCTGGGGAGCTGTGTTTGAAGGCAGAACAGTGAGAGGAGTTTGGTCTCCGGTACTGAGGGAAGAGCACATACATTTTCTAGAGCTACTGACAGTATTTCTGGCTCTGAGACATTGTGCAATTTCTCAAAAATCATCATGTATTGGTCAGAACGGACAATACAACGGTGATAGCCTATATAAATCGGCAGGGAGGCTTACGCTCTCGCAAACTTCACATGTTAGTGAAGCTGATAATGTGGGGCAGCGTGAACCTCCTGTCGTTGCGCGCAACGCATGTTCCAGGAATAATGAACAGGGGAGCAGATTTGCTGTCCAGAGGGAACCCGCTGTACGGGGAGTGGAGACTTCATCCCCAGGTGGTTCAGATGATATGGCAGAGATTCGGTCGAGCTTCCATAGATCTCTTCGCATCGTGCAATGTCCCCTGTTCTTCTGTCTAGCGGGCGACGATGCACCGTTGGGTGTGGATACTCTAGCCCACGAATGGCCAGATGCGTTACTGTACGCATTCCCCCCATTAAGCCTAATCAAGCCGACATTACGGAGGGTAAGAGAGCGATCATACGATGATTCTAATAGCATCATACTCGCCTGGGAGACTGTGGGTAGCGGAGATTGCACAGCTGCTCTGCAACCAGCCATGGCCATTACCAGCACGCAAGGATCTTCTCTCCCAAGTGCGGGGGGAAATATTCCACCCC